GGTGGCCCTGGCCGGCCGGAGGGGACCCTGTGCCGCTCACCTGTGCCCGGCGGGTCCCTGTGCCAGGCTGGGCACCGCGGGCTCCTTTTGCCGGGGCGGCTCCGGGGCACTCCCCGGGCACTCCCCGGGCACTCCCCGGGCACTCCCCGGGCACTCCCCGGCCGGGGCTCCGCGGGGCTGCGGGACGAGCCCGGGGCTCTTGGGCAATGCCCGGCACGGGGCCAGCCGGGTCCGTCCCCTCCCGCCTCCCTGGCACGGAGCGGGCACCGGGCGAGCTGCGAGTCCGGCCCCGCGGATGCCGGGCTCGGGAGGGGTCTGGGGTCACCCGGGATAAAAATCCTTTTTATTAGCTCACCCTGTCACACACAGCCCCGCAGGGCTCTGCGAGGGGATTTGGGATCTCAGCTGCAATAAAAATCCCTTTTTAACTCATCCCACAACACACACAGCCCTGCAGGGCTCTGTGAGCATGATTTTGGGGCTCACCTGGAATAAAAAATCCCCTTTTAGCTCCACTGTCACACACAGCCCCGCAGGGCTCTGCGAGGGGGATTTGGATCTCACCTGGATTAAAAAATCCCCTTTAGGTCAACTCACAACACACCAGCCCTGCAGGGCTCCGTGAGCATGATTTTGGGGCTCACCTGGAATAAAAATCCCTTTTTTTGCTCACCCCATGACACACCAGCCCTGCCTCCCAGATGCTTTTTCCCAAAATCCTGCACCCGGTTCTGCACCAGGGCCCCCCTGGCTGGGAGGAGAAGGGTGGGACACCCCAAAGTGGCTGGGACACCCGAAATTGGGTTGGACACCCCCAAACTGAGCGGGACACCCCAAACTGAGCGGGACACCCCAAACCGGGTGGGACACCCCAAATTGGGTGGGACACCCCAAACTGAGCGGGACACCCCAAACCGGCTGGGACACCCCAAATTGGGTGGGACAGCCCCAAATTGGGTGGAACAGCCCAAACTGAGCGGGACACCCCAAACTGAGCGGGACACCCCAAACTGAGCGGGACAGCCCCAAATTGGCTGGGACACCCCAAATTGAGCGGGACACCCCAAACCGGGTGGGACACCCCAAACTGAAAGGGACACCCCAAACTGAACGGGACACCCCAAACTGAACGGGACACCCCAAACCGGGTGGGACACCCCAAACTGAATGGGACACCCCAAACTGAGCGGGACACCCCAAACCGGGCGGGACACCCCAAACTGAATGGGACACCCTAAACTGAGCTGGACACCCCAAACTGAGCGGGACACCCCAAACCCAGCCCAGCTCTCCCGGGGTGCCCCGGCTGGCACCGGTGCCCGCCCAGCCGGGTGTGACAGGGACAATCGGTCCCCGCGGTGGCACCGGGCACGCCCGCAGCGGCACAAAGGGGCTTTGTGCTGGCCCCGGCCAGGCCCGGGCTGCCAAACAGCTCGGGCTGTTCATTTTTAAAAAGTAGAATAAAGGATAAAAGGGATAAAATCCAGTGAATTGCCAAAAGCGCAGCAATGGCTGTAACAAATTTCCTTATGTACTTTTTCGTTGCACTGGTTAAATGCATATTCATAGACATTATATATGTGTATAT